TGAAAGTCAAGAGGATGCCAGGTACACAGGAAGCGTGCAGTGGCCCAGATCTCTAATAGGAAATCAGGCAGTATCTACGTGCCCTTGCCGCACAAGTTCGCCCTGTAATGAAAGCTCACGGGTTCACTGTTAACTCTCTCGAAGAGGTAGCGCATTTCGTTGCATCACATTCCTCGCTGAGAATGTCGGTCAGTATGAACACAATATGGTGTTCGCTGGTCGGAATTGGAACCATGGCGAGACCGTAGGCAAGTCGATAGCCTTTCCCCTTCTTCCACCCGAATTCTCTGACCCCTTTTTCCAGAGCTCGTACTCCGCAGACCCAACGGGACCTTTTTACCAGCAACATGGCTCATGGGCGTCTTATGCCACGAGGTATGACTTGGCTTCTTACTTTAATCACTGCTCACCGATCGAAGTAGCTCGCCCACATCAAGGTTCGCTCACTGCGACTCTCAGTCTTCTCATTAAGTCTCCTCATTCATTCAGCATATGAACCACGGACCAGCATTCCAGGCGTTATGGAAAAAACTTCGCGAAGAAGTTCGTGCACTCCAACTATCAGGATACTACGGGGATGGCTTGTGGCTTCCTTCTTTCTTTATTAAGTCAATGACCCGTCTACAGGCTACTGGTCCGCCGGTACGCGGTTACGTGATTCTGCCAAGGTCATCGGTGCTGGAATCGATGCTGGCGAATTCCCTGCATACATGGTAAGAGATGTTTCACCATCGACGCGTTGTTAATACCTTCGCCCTAGTGCGGAGGTGCACATTCCCGAGCCCGGCCAACGGCCCTTCGTCGAAAGAGGCGGACCCATCAACCAGCACCCGGAGCGCCTATTGCATCGCTCAAAACAGGACGGCAAACTGCAAAGAGAAGAAAGGCCGGAGCAAGAGTTACTTCCAAATCAGCATTTTCCGATCAGGGTAATTCGCTGGTGGAAGACCCTGAAGTTAAAGGCAAGGGGACTGGGTTCCGCAAACAAGCTGCAAGGTCCATCTCACTTATTCATTTTCTGGACGTTATTAAATGGTTCGTCAGTAAGCGCGCTCGTGAGGAGCGGGCTTTGGCAGCTGAGCGACGGCTGCGGGGTTTGCAAGCTCCATCCCAGCGAGGTGTGTGATAAATGTTTCTCAAAAGTGTTTACATTCTCTAATATAACTTAGCTTCCACATCCAAGGTGACCCAGCCTGACTCTTCATCAGAAGACGAAGTGGACGAACTTGAGGAGGAAGATGAGCTTATGGACCAGCCTGTGGGCGAAACGGATGCTGAGCGACGTGCTGTCTTGCTCCAGTCTGCTTCCTCCAAGGATTTAACGACTCTGAGCGGCGGAACATCATGGCGAACCTTTGACGATGAATTCGTGTTCACAGGGTCTATTGCAAAGAGACCCCTCGAGGAAGTAATCGATATCTCCTCTGACGACGATATTCCGACAGCCTCGGGTTCTACTTTTGTGATGCCAGCTCCCAAAGGGAAATTAAGTGGCAAGGGTGAGCGGAATTTCTTTCATTGCCCGTACGACTCAATGGCCACAGATCCGAAGGTGAAAGAATCTGAGTCCAGGCCCGTTGGTCTCGGTAAAATCGTCGAGAGGGAGATTTCATTGCGTAAGAAGGAGTCCCTGGGAATGGCCCCGACAAAGGCCGGGGGTAGGGTTCTTGGGGGCAGGACTGTGCAGAAAGAACCCAAATGGGCTTGCAGCATATGCACATTGTGCGTATGCAATTGTTGCTGTGATCGAGACTGAAATAACATGATCATGACAGGCTCAACAAGGAGAGTTTCCTCGCATGTTCTGTCTGTGCGACCCCCAGAGCGCAGAACTGAAATCTGAGACTCTGAGGACCGAGGGTCAACATTTTTACTATTGGATCCTTTACTTTGAGACGTTGGCGTCTCGTCTTGTGTGCTTGCGTTGACTAATATTTCTACGCTGATTGGCAGTTGGATCCCCATGCACCGTCGATGTAGCTCGTTCGGTGCTGTTCTATATTTCCCGTATCATACCTTGTATCATACACATTTCTTGGTAGCGTAGCCAGACCATAACATGAGCAAAGAACGATTCTCAGCATACTCCAAAACCAGCGCTACCTCATCCCATCCTCATGCTGCTATAAAACTTCATACATAGTCAGCCTACTACCAACGAGGCTCAGCCCCACATTCGACGATGACCTTGGCAGCCCCTAGGGTGGTCTTCGTTGTTCTATTTGCTCTGAACTGTGTACTCTGGTCTTCTAGCCGATATGGCCACGTCCCGCGCACCAGCTTTATCCATGGCGAGAACAGTCTAGTGAAGCGAATATCTCTGGAACTCGCAAATCCCAACGCTTCGTCCTTGGACATTGCCGAGAAGCAGGTGCGCTACTGAAAGCAGCATATTTCGCCTACCCTGACGTCTCTTAGTGTCGGCCTCTCGCATTCCCAACCATTGAGCAGTGCGCTCATGTGCAGAAACATTGCCCTCTACCCCCGACATTTCTATCGATTCCATACCTCCGCCACTATTATTGCACCGAGACTACCTTGAGACCTTTGGTCTTCACTGCGCTCATCGTGTGGCTCGTCTTCCTATTCTCCACTCTGGGGATCAGTGCTTCCGATTTTTTCACCCCAAATCTCGCCACAATTGCCCAGTTACTCGGCCTGGATGAGAACGTGGCCGGTGTGACGTTCCTGGCTTTTGGGAACGGTAGTCCCGACGTTTTTTCCACGTTTTCCGCCATGCGAGCCAACTCGGGGAGTCTCGCCATAGGCGAACTACTTGGTGCTGCGTCTTTCATCGTATCGTGTGTGGTCGGCTCCATGTGCATTATAAAACCTTTTCAACTCAACCGGGCCATGTATTTTCTCCGCGACGTTGGTTTTATGTTTACCGCGGTCACTCTACTGCTAGTGATACTGTGGGATGGTAGCATCCGTTTCTGGGAGGCTGCAGTGATGATTGCGCTCTACGTTATATACGTAGCTGTTGTAGTTCTGGGAACATGGTGGGAAGGGAGACAGGAGCGCCGAAGGGCACATGAAGCCATGGTGCGATCCGAGTATGCTGAATCGGATACGTCGCCTTCGAGCCCATTCCATGAGCGCTATACGGATTATCGTGCGTACATGACAGTTTCAGAGTCTCCGTCTAACTAAAATATCCCTTTTAGCCAGCTCTTCGTCTTCCTCCCAGACACCAAATATACTAGTAGCGCCCTCACCCTCGAGAGCACGCGCCATTTCAGCTCCTGGAGCACCACCCCGACTCCAGACAGATCTTCCCCGACGCTCTCATTCCCGGACGCCATCGCCGTCTCCTTCTTTTGGAGCCATGCCATCCTTCTCTCTTGTGGGTGCTCTGGAGTTTCGTCAGGTTGTTGCATCATTGCAGCACGAAGCTGCAGGATCATCCCTCAGCGTCTTTGACAGCCCGTTCACGCCATACGCCGGTGGCCATTACAATTCCCTACGGACCAGGTCTCGAACCCTTAGCCGCGAAGTAGATCCGTGGGATGCTGCTCTGGGACTACCGCTGGATGAAAGGTCGCGCCCAAGGCTGACGGTAACGCCTGCCTTAACTGAGGAGCCAGAAGGCTTCATGGAAGGAAGCCCTGCGGAAAGTAGAAACCATTCACGGGACAACTCTGTTCCCTCCATTTCGCGGACGCCTGCCTCTCCAACCGTCTCCGACGGTGACACCGAGTCCCAAAATTTTCAACCTCCGACTCGACGGCAACGTTTATTTTATGTGCTTGGCAAAATCTATCACACCCTCTTCCCATCCCTTCACCGTTTCCAGAGTAAAACCGTCCTCGGACAGATTGCTTCTGCATTCGCTGCGCCAGCAGTGATGCTGCTCACACTCACATTACCAGTTGTTGTCACTCCGTATCAATCTTCACACCATTCCCGTGAGAAGACGACGCGCGAAGAAGAGAACCTCATCGATTTCGAGGAGGAAGGAATTGAACGGATCCTCATTGCCGAAGAGGAAGTCGAAGAAGAGATGCATGGTATATTGTACAACAAATGGTTAACAACTGCTCAATGTACTTTTGGCCCTCTATTCTGCGCCATGGTATTGTTTGGTATGTACACATTTCGCATATTTCTTTCTCTCATCCAAATCCAGGCGGCAACAATTACCAGCTGTGGGCTTTACTTTCCGCCGGCACTGTTGGTTTTGCGGCTTCTGTTCTCGTTGCTCTCTTCGCAGATAATGGTGAACACACTACGTTCCGCATGGCCCGTTGTTCTGTCGGCTTCTTTGTTGCTGTCGTATGGATAATGGCGATCGCGGATGAGGTAGTCAAGGTGCTTCAGGTACGCGTGAAACACGCTTATGTATCGGACACATTTCACGGAAAATTCTTTAGACATTTGGATTCATTTTTGGGCTCTCCGATGCCATCATCGGTTTGACCATTTTCGCAGTGGGCAACTCCCTTGCTGATCTCGTGGCGAACATGAGTGTAGCGGTAAGTAACTTTGCTTTCACAAAGATCAGCCGTATTTAGTCATAATACAGGTGTTTGCTCCAATCATGGGCTTTTCAGCATGTTTTGGAGGACCTATGCTGAACATTTTACTCGGTGTAGGTATATCTGGAACGTACATTATACAGGATACGTCGCAGCCGTACGAGCTCTATTTCGGCAACACACTGCTGGTCAGTACTGTCGGGCTTCTTATTCTTTTGGCCGCCACCCTCATTGTGGTCCCATTGAATGGGTACTTCCTCACACGGACTTGGGGTATAATCCTCATTGCTACATACACGCTGATTATGGCTATCAATGTTGTTGTCGAGATTAAAAGTGATTAAAGCTAATATACGAGGCGGACTGTATCATTAATGTAAAGCTGGTATCTTAATTCACGTTCACTGTGGCGGCAAATGACCGAGAAAATTCTTCATTCTTGCCTTTAACTTGCGTAAGTTTGACGCTTGGCGGTGGCTAATTTTCTGTGCACCTAGTATTCGATGTGACCCCTTCTCTTATCCTTCTTTAGCTCAGTTGGAAGAGCATCAGACTGTAATTGGATGATTAAGTAATCTGGGTGTCGCCTGTTCGAACCAGGCAAGAAGGATCTTTTTTGGCTTTTTTTGCACCCATCTCACCTCTGTTTTTCTCTGCAAAAATGCCTCAAGTCCGAAAGGGGTCTCCAAAGCCAAGAAACCAATTAATGATAAGTGATATGTTGCCACGCTGTCTCACAGCAACAGGTGTGGATTCAATCCGTAACCGTTCTTCCATTTCTTGTTTTTACGAATATTATAGCTTCAAGTACAAGTCTTTCAGCGGAGCCTTCCCGGAGCACGGTCAGTTCGTCTCAATAAAGGTCAATGCAATCGAACCTGGACCTGTAGGTACAGCTTTCATACATAACAAAGATATATCAAGACAAAATTGAAGAAAATCAGGATCTGAAGGTTTCGATGGATCTTTCTGGAAAACATTCACCATCGGCTCAAACTTCACTGGAAGGTAAAGTGAGAAACACATCTACAAGCCCCGTTGGCAGATGTTAATCTTCACCAAAGAATGATACATTGAATAACTATCAAGATACTCTACATTATTACTTGATCAAGGGTTCATCTAGGTTAGGCTTAGATTGCTTGGAAGAAGATTGATGACGGCGCGCATACCTTTTCTTATAACCCCCCTCCACCTAGGATATATTTGATAGCAGAATGTACACTCCCGGCCGTTGCAAGTAGGGCGCGCACATTTTGAGATGCATTGGTGAAGCCCATGTCCTGCAATTGCTCTCAGCTCAGCAGATTTTCTTTCTGTCCTCGAAGGAAAATTTCGAGTTTGAGTATGAGCACTGGATTGGACCAACAATACTATCGATGGTGAGATTCCAATGTTGTGTAATTTGAAAAATTCATTCGTGTCCAGAAAATTCCAAGCCTGCTTCCCCTTGAGCAATGGAATGTTAGAAAATTGTTCCAGGACATCTGTCAATGCAGATCAGCACACAGATAATCTTGGAGACCGCCCGCCCGTCCGCGTCCGTGTCCATCCAACCGAGCATCAACATCGCCGCGAGTACTCTATGCGTTTCCTTTCCATCTCGTCTCTCCTCCCTATCCCCCATCCTTGTGCCCATACCTGCCAACTGACTTTTGCATATGTATAATTAGATTCCTCAAAAACAAAGGCACCATGGCCAGCGTCTTTGCCCTCGTCCGCCTCGTCTTCACCGTGTTCATTGCGCCGAGTATGCTCCCAGATGACCGTTACGACAACGACCATAGCAGTGCAGGGCACCACCGCGGGCTGTCGCTCGAAGCTAGCAGCGAGCCGCACGGCGGGTATCCACAGACGTATGCAAACACGGCACAGTATGCGAATGCCCAGCCAGGGCTGGGGTATGGGTACGGGTATGGCAATGGATATGGGTATGGACATGGGTACGACGCGGGGGCGTACGGCGTGGGGAATAATGGTTACGCCCGGGAGCAAGGATATGGCGGAGGGCAGCAGCAGCAGTTCACGCCGGGCACGGGCGCAGCTGGTGTTGGCACAGCGCGGGCTATATCGTCTACTTGCCGGCCTTCCGTCGGCGCTGTGGCGGCCATGGGGGAGCCACAATTCATGTCGGAAACACGTGAACGGGCGGGGGCACCACTGATGACACCACCTTCACCTATCGTATCGGCTACCCGCAGCCGGTACCAGTACCCGTGCCTCATTGCTCACATTTGCATTTGCATTTGCAATCCCAGCAGCAGCAGACACAATTCCGGCAGAGGTGGAGCTCGCATGGGCACTCACACTCTGCGCATAGTCGCTCCAATTTGAATTCAAATTCAAATTCAAATCCTCCGCTGCGGTTGGACTATTCGCAGTCAAGAATTTGCACTGTTACTCCGGAGTAACCACAACTTTAACACCAACGCTGAGCACCGGTATTCCAGCGGGCAGCAGGGGTAGCAATATACCAATGCGCAGCGTGCCACAGCTGCCGTCGAAAGATTATATCTCAAACTACACGTCACTGTCGCCGCCTGTGAGCAGGGAAAATGGAAATGGGGGCGGGGAAATGGAAACGGGGAGGAGCGATCGGTGTCGCCCGGGGAGCTGGAGCCCGAGGCTGGGCAGGTGTTGAAGGTGCGTTGATTTTCGCTTTTTTTGTGTTGACTTTTGCTTTTGCTTTTGCGTTCGTGGGGATATTTCCTTCTTGCGTGGAATACCATCTCATCTTCCATCCATATAAGCTGTACTGACAGGGTGTTTTTCAGATGGCAAACAAATAAGAATAATATTCCCAAACAAACAAATAGATTGTGAACGAATGAAGAAGATTGCAAATGAAGAAGAAGAAATCGACCAAACCAAGGCGGTTATATACCATACCCACCCGTAGTGGTACCATACACCATGTGATGATGGCTGTAGCCACAATCTGGAATTGTGTGATACCGCGGTCACAACCACCAGCCTGGCTAGGGTCACCTTCAGGCCTTTTCCGTGCCATTTTCTGGCCGCTGCCCGCCGCTAGGCCAGTTTTTCAATTCCCACGGGCTATTTCTTTTGATGGTTCTAATTAATTACTCTAATTCTTGAATTATATTACTGTAAATGCAATCTATCATTTGATTATGTATCGCCCAAAATTGCTACTACGCCAAAAGCCGAGAAAGGGAATTATTCGTACACAGTTGAAAAACTACAATCCGCTGCCGAGCTTACAGGCATATGCAGAGACCTAGCGAGGGACATCATCCCACCCAGGATACCGTATGGACGCGTGCGCGCATGGTGGGAACGCCCGCGGTGTAGCCACACCCCTGGCTGGGCACATCCTCCGTCTTGGATAGTGTACCCACCAGCGACTGCAGGCGGCTTGCTGATAGCATACGTGTTGCATAGCGTAGGGAGCGAAATCGACTCCTCTGGTGCCGCTGGTCGTGATTGTGGTAGCGGGACAGTGGTGGCATCCGTATACGGCAGCAGCGGGCGCGTACATTTGTGTGGGTACGTTTGTGACGGCTTCTATTGCTCCTCCACCTCGAGTGACGTCTCTCTCATGAACACCAACATCCCCTCCTCTAGCATTGCCATCGCGTCCTCCTGCGAAGCAATGCGTACCAGGCCAGAAGCCGAGGTATCCCAAGCCGTCTTGAAGCGTGCGGCAATTCGCCGATGTAGTTCCGCCTGGCGCGCTGCGTATGCGTTCAAACCTGCCCTCAGCTCGGGCTCCATCTCTACACCGTGCACATCCCGCTGATTGTCCCACCAGGCGGCCCTCCACCTCAAAAACCGCATCACCCACCTCATCTCCTCTCTCAGGAGCCGCACCTCCTCCGACCACCGAACCTTGCGCGCCAGCACCTTCGACCAATCCACCCGTACACCTGCACCAAAACGTCAGCCGCTTCTCACCCATTGAAGTGTTTGCACTTACAATCCAGGAGCTCTTCTTGATCTTCCCCCGGCCCTCCCCTCGCCGTCCAGATCCAAGAGAATTTCTTCTTGCTCTTGCCCTTCTTTGGGATCGTCGGCTTGTTCTTGTTCTTCCGAGTAGAGCTCGAGCCTGCTCTCGCCAGCTTCTGCCAGGCCATCACGTCCGACTCGAACTCCTCCTCCAGCGTCAAATCCGCTGCAGTCAGCTCCCGTAACCGTTTCTTCTCACACCACTCCTCCCCTTTCAGCACCCTCAACGCCTTCCACGCCCTCCGATACTTTGTCGTCAGCGTATCAATCCGCTTGTTGACCTGCCCGATCAGGGTATTACTACGCAGAGACTGCCTCTGGCCCACTACATGGCTGTTCCGGTATTGAATCAGATGCCGTTTCGAATGTAGTCGGTCTCGAATGACGTCCAGGGCGTTGGTGCACTGCGCTTCCCGCAGTCGTGCCTCTCTCTCTAGTAGCCCCTTCACACATCCACGAGTGCGCGCCGTAGCCGTAGGCAATTGGCTTGGCATCCATAGCACAATATCTTCTGGATTCGGCGTCTTGCTCCTCCTCCTCCGACTCCAACATCTCAGTGGCTCCCGGCATATGTCTCGCCTGCAGGTCCCGGAACGTCTTGAGCTTGCTCATGAAACTCAAGCGCAGCTCCTCCACACGGTTGGACTGATCCGCCACCAATATCACCCGCTCCTTTTGCTCTGCTTTGATGCGACGCCTGAAAGCACTCCGTTAGGAGGTCACTCGATTCACGAGCAAACAGACTTACTGTGTTTCCTCCAGCTGCATCCCCGCCACCAAGAAAGCAGTTGTGCCTGTACGGTGAACGTTGGCGGCACCTTCCTGGGCTTCCTTCACCTCGTCTTTCTTCAAGTCCAAACACACTGTAACCTCGGACGGCCCGCCTGCATTGACACCACTTTTAAGTTTATGCCTTCCGGCCCGCAGAACTAGACATGCACCTTTGAGACCGCCAACCCGCTCGTACAGATTAGGATTGCTCTTGTCTCCCAGCCAATCATCCACTTTCTTTTGCCAGGCATTGCGGACTTGCGGCGCCAATGTCGAATCCACGTCGGTGAACACAGCAACTTGAACGTCCCGCTCCTCGATAGCAATTATCAGCTTACGAGCCAGCGTGTCACCTAAAGTACATTAGTATTGCTAACTGATATGGATCGCGCTCATCATACCTTGGCCAATGTTCTTCTCCCAGTTGTGGTGATCAATCCTGTCTTCCAGTGCATCATATCATGTCTTGCGCCCTGCCCCATCTCCTTCGTCGCCCAGCCCAGCGGATTCAAACCCGACCATGTACGCTCGATTCCCCCCCCATCTGTTCGACCCACCCCCTCCAGATAATTTAGTGAGTTTTTGGCCTGGCACTCCTTCTCGTGCGCTGCCGCGTGCCAAACCGGAAGGCCGAACTGTATTTCGACGCTAGCGGGGATCTTTAGCGCTGCCGGCATCTTATCCATCCTCGACTTCAAGTTGATCTGCCACTGGCAGGCAATATCATACGAGATGGTGAGCCAGACAAGCGACAGGCCAAGGATGCTGGACAAGACAATATAATCCATGTTCGAGTACCTGAGACATCTCGTTTAGTCACGTCATCTAGAACTATGGGGCCGGATATCATACCGTTCTCCCTTCTGCAGG